AATAGTTTTAATTATCAATGAAATTATTTATTCTGAGGTTTTCAATTATTGGATTATCATTCTAAGTTCTTTTTAGCAAAATTTTATTCATTCTTGTTTTCTATATTGTATTCTGTGTTCATTAAATGGCTAATTGTTTTGATATCCTCGGGTAATCGGGCGTGGGCCTGGCCAACCCGCATCCGGAAATCCGGGGGTATCACACCATTTAATATATGTATATATATGTGTGTGCGTGCGCGCATAATAAATCACAACCACACAATTCAACACACTACCATAAAATTATGCACAAAATAATTATACATGATATGTAATGAACCCAAAATAAAATTTCCATACACAACAATTCCGGTAGTGGGTCCCACCCTGGACCGTCCGGCCCGAAAAACAGAAAAATGCCGAAATGGCAACCCTGGATTTCCAAGAGTCCTAAACTCAAATAAATGCCCTAACCAATTCTAGCTCAAACACACCCAGCACACCCCACGAGGTCCGGCACGCAAAACGAGAAAAGACAAAATCGCCCCCGAAAAATCAAAAAAAATCCAGAAAATAGAAAATAGAAAAAATCGGTAACATTATAATATATATATATATATATATATATATATATACATACACACGCGTGTATATATGTACACACTCAAGAGCCACCACCAGACCCACCACTATACTGTGATACCCCCTGGATTTCCGAATGCGGGTTGACTAGGCCCACGCCTGAATACCCGAGGATATCAAAACAAATTGATAATAAAAGAACACAGAGTACAAAAGAATAAAGAAGAATAAATAAAATGTTGACAAGAAACTAAAATGATAATCTAATAATAAACCTCATAATATATTTTCATTAGTTAATAAACTCTTCTGATACAACTGATCCTCCAAAATACAATTCGGGAATCCATACTGTGTGGACCCCTAGAAAATCCAAACTAAACAAATGACAGCAATAACTGTCTAAATCAGGAAATTGAATCATAAAGGAACTCCTATGTAGTATCGAAAGTATGAAGTAGACTGATCCTTACTCAGTACGAACAACCTCTATTCCTGACGAACACCTGAAAAATAATGGTGGGTTAGGCCCACAAACAAGTTCTACTCTATTATAATCCAAATAGAGATCCGATACACGTATACATCCTAGTCAGTCCAACAGTAACTAGTAGTCCATATATATATATATATACACACACACTAAAGGAACCTCACTAGACTACAGGGTTGTCTTAACCTGAATAGTAGGTAATATGCAAAACGCATATATATATTGGGCATGAGTACCTAGATCTACCAGGGTACACAACTACACTATATCTAGTTACACATCCCTGGCGATATACGCGCCTTAACCACTGATCCTGAGACTCAAGCTCATATCATGGCACCATACTTGTATATATAAAATCTAATAACCATCCTATCCAGTATAAATTAATCCTCCATAAGTCATTCAACTTGTTCAGCTGACCTGACTTGAATATAAGTAGGACTTAACATTTTAGTTAATCCATTCCCTTATATAATAAATTAATCTTCCATAAGTCATTCAACTTGTTCAGCTGACCTGACTTAAATTTAAGTAGGACTTAACATTTTAGTTAATCCATTCCCTTATATAAAATAGGTAGGACTTAACTAATAAGTTAATCCGTCCCTAGAATGCCACCGTCCCATACCGGTGCATTAAACCACACAATTTAACAATTGATGTAATGATTAAAGAAATACATCAAACAATCCAGAAATAACTATGATAATATGATATCAAGTTATCACAAAATAGGAATGACTTATTATTTATTTAAACTTCCTATATCACATGTCTTACACAAACTGAATCTTATACATGATGATATTTTATTATACCGTCAAATAAGCATTCTCCATATCCAATTCATCCTACACATTTAATCTTAATTGCTAAAACATTTTAAAAGATTAAATCCATTCGTTTGTTTAAAACATTCAAATAGAAAACATCATTATGATTGAGTCTATTTAAATTTATTTAAACTCAAACCTAGTTTCCATTTAATGTTCAGGTATCCTAGGTATGTTTCTACGTTCCATCATTCCACAGATATGAAAAAATACATAATGTAAACATATAAAAATTCATACCGGAAATCAAATCAAAATCATGCACTTATTAATTCATAACACAAGAACAGATATGAACCAATTTCATAAAACCTAAGTTCTAATCCAATTAAACATGCATAATTATTTAATTTTATGTGTTTAATAAATCCTGGAATTTTCTAGGCATGCATAGAAACACGAATCAAAGGGAAAGAGATAGAAGAAGAACTTGCCTTAAATTTTCGGATCGAAAGTTAAATTTCTTCTTCCTTGATCTTCTCTCTACATGGTTTTTTTTTTTTTTTCTTCATTCCTTCATTTTCCTCATTCCCTCTCTAACTCTCTCTCTCTAGAATATATCACGTGAATATTTCTAACCCCCTTTTACAACCTATAACTATATATTTAGAGGCTAAATAAAATAACCCTAACCCTTTTCCCAATCCAAGTCAACTTAAAAAAAATAAATATTAAAAATGTAAGTAAAATATGTTACATATATCATTTATGTATATCTTTATTAAATAAATAAATTATACACATCCCATTATTTATTAATGGATTATCCAATAATACTTAAGTTACCATTATATTATAAAGTAACTTAAAATATAACACGTATCAAATCTATGTATATTTTTATTATTTAAATATAAAACATATACATCAGATTAATATTACTACCCAAGTTACCATAAAAGTAATTAATAAATTACTTTCCCTTTTATATACATTAAAAATGTAAGTAAAATATGTTACGTATATAATTTATGTATATGTTTATTAAATAAATAAATTATACACATTCCATTATTTATTAATAAATTATTCAATAATACTTAAGTTACCATAATATTATAAAGTAACTTAAAACATAACACGTATCAAATCTATGTATATTTTTATTATTTAAATATAAAACATATACAGCAGATTAAATATTACTACCTAAATTACCATAAAAGTAATTAATAAATTACTTTCCTTTTTTATATATGTATATAATATATATCTATATATATACATACACAACTATCCATGGGTAATAATCCATACACATCTAACCTCCTATCCAAGTAGTCCATAGGACCCAATTGGTTGGCTCATTACTACTAACTATAACCATAACCACAAAAGAAAAATAAAATAAAATAATAAAAGAAAAGAAAACATTTAATTTACAATTAATCAAAACACCATTTAAGCACATAATCTAATTAAACAATTAATACATAGACAAATACAAATAATACATAGACACATAATCAAATAATCAAGTAATATCTAATTCAATTAAACACATAAGCAATTAGTCAAATAATTAATTAAATAATCAATAATACAATTAAAACAAATAAATAAATACTGACACTATCCTTTTAAAATTAGGGGTATTACATATACTTTCAGACCCACTGCCACTACCTTTAATTGTCTTTCAATATATATATATATATAAACACGTGTATATATATATATTCAAGTGCCACCACCAGACCCACCACTATACCACTATATCACCCTTTTCTTTCTTTATATATATATACACACTAGCGAGCTACGGGTGCACAAGTCTCACATCGCCTGGGTAGAGGAAAGGTGAAGTGCTTATATGTAAGTGCATCATCTCCAATTGGTATGAGGCCTTTTGGGGTGAAACCTAAGAGCAAAACCGTACGGGCTTAGGCCCAAAGCGGACAATATCATACCATGTGGTGGAGTGGGTCGTTACAAATGGTATCAGAGCCTGACCCAGCCGGAAGTGTGCCGACGAGGACGTCGGGCCTCCAAGGGGGGTGGATTGTGATGACCTTGTGGGCGGGTGTGCCGTTGGCGGGTGCAAGAGACACTGTCATGCTACCACACTGGCGAGCTACGGGTGCACAAGTCCCACATCGCCTGGGTAGAGGAAAGATGAAGTGCTTATATGTAAGTGCATCATCTCCAATTGGTATGAGGCCTTTTGGGGTGAAGCCCAAGAGCAAAACCGTGAGGGCTCAGGCCCAAAGCGGACAATATCATACCATGTGATGGAGTGGGTTATTACAAATGGTATCAGAGCCTGACCCAGCCGGAAGTGTGCCAACGGGGACGTCGGGCCTCCAAGGGGGGTGGAATATGACGACCTTGTGGGCGGGTGTGCCGTGGGCGGGTGCGAGAGACACTGTCAGGCTACCATACTGGCGAGCTACAGGTGCCCAATCCCACATCGCCTGGGTAGAGGAAAGGTGAAGTGCTTATATGTAAGTGTGTCACCTCCAATTGGTATGAGGTTTTTTGGGATGAAGCCCAAGAGTAAAACCGTACGGGCTTAGGCCCAAAGCGGACAATATCATACCATGTGGTGGAGCGGGTCGTTACAGTTATCATCTCGACTTCTTCCCCGAACCTTCCTTTATACCCAGCCTGCGCTGACGATGTGGATGAAGAAAGATTCAAAGTCAAAATTTTTGAGGGAATACTTTTTGAGACCAGATTTGGAAACCGATTCCACACTAAATTAAAAAGAATTAAAAATTTTAGGGGGAGCACTTTTTGAGACCAGATTTGGTGGTGATGCTTTCGGGGATGTGGCAGTGTTTGTGGAGGTGGAATGGTGCGGAATCCATGGTGGTGGTGGTGGTTGACGAAATGGGGATTACGATAGTGGTGGCGCGGCTGTTGTTGCACCCAAAGATTGAAAGAGAGATCGGAGATTAATGGAGAGCTGAGACTCTAGAGATTGATGGAGCTGTTGTTTTAAGGATGCTAGGTAACAAATGTGGGGTTGTAAGTATAGGGGGTAAAATTGACATTTGATATATTTATATATTTTAATTATTTTTATAATATAATAATGAGGGTAGATAAATAAATTCACAACAAAATCTGACAACGGGGGGTCTTTGCAAAAAAATGGCAAACTTTCGGTTTAGTTGCAATTAGTCCAAACTTCAGGGGAGGTTATTGTAGTTTGCCCTACTATTTATTTATTTATTTTCTATTTTTCCATTTATGCTATTTAAACCTTTAACTAGGAAACGACACAGTTTTAAGGTCTTCGTTTTTTGCTGTTGAAGTAGAGAACTGAAAGGGGCGCTCTGTCTCTCAACTTCAAAATATTTTTTAAAGAGGCTAATTGCTGAGCAGCGACCAATTTGCTTTTTCCTGCCTTAGGCTTCTCCCCGAATATTATTGAAACTCATTCTTTTCTCTTTTTTTTTTTTTTTTTTTTTTTTTTTTTTTTTCCAGTGAAACTTTTTATCTGAATGTAAGCTGTCCTCTCTGATAACTGATTGATCTTAGATTAGTAAACATTCAGTATTTCAATTTCTCATTTTTCTACCTAGTTTTATTCCTCTATTGGCTCGCTAAAATCATTACATTTTGATACATTTTATGTTTTTATTTTTTTTTATTCTTACCAAAAAAAATTGTGGATTCTTACCCAAAATTCCATGTTCTCACTCTCGGTTCTGTTGTGTGTTTTTCATGATTTGCAGATGTCTAAATCTGGAGCATTGGATCTGGCTTCTGGTGTTGGCGGCAAGATTGAGAAAAATGAAGTACTTTCAGCTGTGAAAAAGTACATGCTCTTTGCCTGTAATATATATATATATATATATATATATATATATATATATATATATTATCACATTCTTCCTTTTTGACATAGATGGGTGGTTATTGGATTTTGGTTATGAATTGTTCTTATTAAGTGCTAATCTTCATTTTTGAACTACTTTTCTGGTTTGGAAAGTGAAAAAGTCCTTTGGTTTTGTTAGGATGATGATGTCTCAAATTTTATTATGATTACGTCTCTATTTTTAGAGTCCTATTGTATGGTGTAATGTTTAAGATAACTCTGCCACTGAATTAGGTATGGGTCTATAAAATAGATATGTGGGTTATTGTTGAAAGTATGAGTAAGAGTCTACGTGTTTGTAACATCTCTACAAATTATAATGAAATCTCCTCATCCAAGGATGTAGCCCGAGTTTGGGTGAACCATGAAAAAATCTTGTGTTGTGATTTGGAATCTTCGTTATGTGGAGAAGATCCAAAAAACACAATGAATCTCAACGAGTGTTGTAACGGGTTCGGTTGCAGGTGGAGTCAATCGGTCATGATCATCATCAGGGTTCGTTATCTCTCAGGCCGGAAAAGAGATTGTAGTTTTGCTCTAAACCAAGATCCTAAAAGAAGAATGGGATTGTTCTCTCAGCCCCGAAAAGAGGATGGTGGTTTTGCTCTTTGCCTAAAAGAAGAAAGGGTTCGCACTCTCAGCCCGGAAAAGAGTTAGACGTAATCGTGATGAGATATATGGCAAAGGTGGAGTCGTGAAGGACAACCAGGGTGAGTTGTCAGATTCAGCTTGCCATGGAAAACGTTGATTGACGTGAAGTTGAGTCAAGGTGGAGATTGTTAGGATAATAATGTCTCAAATTTTATTATGATTTCGTATTGTATCGTGTAATGTTTAGATAATTCAGTGAGTTAGGTTTGGGTCAGGTTTAGGGTCTATAAAATAGATAGTGGGTAGCCCGTAAGGGCAATCTCACAAGGGGAGAGAAACGTGTAGCCCGTAAGGCCAATCTCACAAGGTGCGAGTATAATGGGTAGAGAGAGTTTGTGTTTGTAACATCTTTACAAATTATAATGAAATCTCCTCATACATGGATGTAGCCCAATCATGTAAAAATCTTGTGTTTGTGATTTGGAATCAATTTTTTTTTGATTTAATTTTTTATTGCTTCCGCTGTGCCCAACAAGTGGTATCAGAGCTGATGGTTTGGACTTGGATGTTGCAGTTCTTATGTGAAGAAGATCCATAAAACACAAGGAATCTCAATAAGCGGGTTTAGTTGCAGGTGGAGTCAATCAGTCACGATCAGTTGCAGGTGGAGTCAATCAGTCACAATCATCGTCAAGGTTCATTATCAGCCCGTAAAAGAGATTATGGTTTTGCTCTCCGCCAAGGTTTCCTAAAAGAAGAGTGGTTTTTTTTTTTTTCTCAGCCCAGAAAAGGGGATAGTGGTTTTGCTCTCAGCCAAGGTTTGCTCCCAACCTAAAAGAAGAGTAGGTTCACGCTGGAAAAGAGTGAGACGTAATCGTGATGAGATATATGGAAAAGGTGGGGTTAAGGACAACCAGGGTGAGTTGTCAGATTCAGCTTGGCATGGAAAATGTTGATTGATGGAGATTGTTAGGATAATGATGTCTCAAATTTTATTATGATTACGTGTCTATTTTTAGAGTCCTATTGTATTGTGTAATGTTTAGATAACTCTGCCAGTGAGTTAGGTTTGGGGTTTATAAAATAGATACATGGTTATTGTTGAGAGTATGAGTGGAGAGAAACGTGGCTCGCGAGGGTGTGAGAACAATGGGTAGAGAGAGTTTACGTGTTTGTAACATCACTACAAATTATAATGAAATCTCCTCATCCATGGATGTAGCCCGGGTGTGTTTGTAACAATGAAATCTCCTCATCCATGGATGTAGCCCGAGTTTGGGTGAACCGTGTAAAAATCTTGTGTTGTAGTTTGGAATCACTTTTCTTCTTCTGATTTAATTTATTGATTCCGCTGTGCTCAATAAGTGGTATCAGAGCCGATGGTTCGGACTTAGGATGTTGCAGTCATTATGTGAAGAGTGTTGCAACGGACAGGATGGTAAGCTTATTGGCAGCTTAAAAGAACAATTGTCTAGGTTCTTTGACATGAAAGACTTGGAAGCTGCACAACATATTTTGGGTATGCAAATATCCCGAGATAGAAGAAATAGGAAGCTCTAGTTATCATAGGAGAGATATGTTGAACGGGTGCTTGAAAGGTTCAACATGAAAAATGCCAAGGTGGGCTTGATGGTCACTTCAAGTTGAATAAGAATTCGTGTCCTATCAGCAAGGGAAAAAGATGCAATGGAAAATATTCCGTACTCCTCCGTTGTTGGGAGTTTGATGTACACAATGGTGTGCACACGGCCAGACATTGCTCACGCAGTTGGTGTGGTGAGCAGATTTCTTTCAAATCCTGGCAGAGAACACTGGGAAGCAGTGAAATGGATCTTCAGATACTTGAGAGGAAGCTCCAATTTATATTTATGTTTTGGGGATTCAAAACCAGTCTTGGAGGGTTACACAGATACAGACATGGCAGGTGACCTTGACGGCCGTCTAAATTGTAGAAGTGTGTTGCCTTGTCTACAACTGAGGCCGAGTATATTGTTGTTATTGAAGCCAGTAAAGAATTACTGTGGATGAAACAGTTCCTTCAAGAATTGGGGTTAAAGCAAAAAGAATACGTAGTATTCTATGACAGTCATGAGTGCTATTGACTTGAGCAAGAATGTGATGTATCATTCTCTCACAATCGATGTTAGGTATCATTGGATACGTGAGGTGATTGAGAAACAATTGCTACAATTGAAGAAAATTCATACAGACAAGAATGTCTCTGATATGTTGACAAAAGTAGTTCCGAGTGAGAAGCTTAAGTTTTGCGCCAAGATGGCGGGGATGCGCTCCATCTAGGAGTGCATGGTGGTTCTTCCTCTCATGGGTGGAGGACTGGAGGGGGAGAATTGTGGGGTTCCACCCACGTGTGGAGAGTGCACGGTTTGCCCAATGTGCAGTTGGTGCACTACGCGATTTGTTAGGTTTTGGAAACATAAAGTGATAGAGAAGACTACTCTTTTTGGGGCAATAACAATTTGTGAGGCGATTTACGACGGTGGAGTACACCGACGTAGAGGAGAGATTGGCTTCTTCGCGGATTTGCGAAGGTCTTATTTTACTACTGCTTTGAGTATTTCCAACGGGTTGTTAGGGAAGGGTTGATTGTGGTAAAGAAAGATATTTTATCTTGTTATTCTCCTGTGATTGTAATTTCTCAATTTTGGGCGTATGTCTTGAGAACAACGTTGTCCTACATGATTTAAATAGTGGAGATTATCGTCAGTTTGCCCCATGGTTTTTTCCCTCTACACTGGAAGGTTTTTCCATGTATATCGTTGGTGTTGATTCTTTATTTTTCTGCATCGTTTATTGTTTATATTTTCAGCATTATTTTTCTCAGCCCAAAAGTTTTGGGACCAACAGGTTTTTGCTCCAAAAAGCAATGGGACTCCTCCGAAATGCTAATCCAACAATAAATAGTCAGGTCCCTTTCTTTGAGTGTGAAAGTATTGGGAATTGCGTTGATTATGAGAAGGCTGTAATTTTAGTTATACCCGGTTATCATAATATGAATTGCATGTAAAACGTGTAGGTAAATTCTTACCCTAACTATAAGCATGTGTGTACAAGAAATGTATTTATATTGATGGGTGCGATATGAATAACCATAGAAGAGATTTGCAAGAGATCCTTAGCCTTTGTAAGATATTGATGAATCTAATGCAGAATTACTACTATTTTTTGTGAGTGAGAATTGGTACAGACCCAATACATGTAGATATTATTTATGCAATCCTAACCCATAAAGGATTGCTACCAAAAAGGTGAAACATCATACTAACACTATGCAATCCAGCATAGCTATGTTGCACTAAGCTCAGCAGACTTTATCGATCGCAATAAAAAATAATGAGCTTATCTGGTGCACTCTCTCTACCTTCAAGCATTCCAATCAATCTTGTTTTTCACAAACCAGAATATAATGACAATGCTAGTGCACATATTTTATAAAAAATTCTTACATTGCCTTCTCCTTTATATGAAATTCTTGTTGTTTTCGTATGTATTTATTCTTACGACTTGGACACATTCATCTTCCAGTGGAAGTGATAGCATCGGATTGCATTTTAAGTAGCAGTTCCAATGGATCCTTTATATATAATGCATGTCTTGTTGGTGTCGTTGAATGGTTTGTGATGAGATTTTTTGTCCAATAATCTAGGTATGAGAAGTATTATGTGGCTGGGGATGAGGATGAGAGAAAAACTAACTACATTGACATGGTAAGAGAATTTACTTTGTCTTCTATAGAAAACCATTGATTTAGAGTTATGTATTAGATATTAGTTATACCCAATCGCTTTGAAGTCAGTTACACATTTTTACTGGAAGTATCATAGTGTAGTCTTCATTTTATTTTTATTTTTCTTTTTTGGGGTGGGGAAGAGTTTTATTGCAATTTTTTCCCTCACTTGTTTCCCCCTTGTCAATTGTTCCCTTGAGCTCTTGAAAAAAAAATTTGTTCCCTAGAACTTTTAACGTTAAATAGTTATGCCAATTGGCTGTGCAATGAGAGCTTATAGTGCCAATTGTTCTTTTGCTGGAAAACCATAAGCTTCATGATTGCTTAGTTTCAGTTGTTGCAAGAAGAAAATCCGTGTGTAGTTGGACTTAATTAATAATCTCTGCTACAGTCAAATTTAACAAGTTGCAAAGTCTCAACTTTATCTTAATAAATTTTGACTTGTTCCTTGGTTGAGCTTATTACCAATTTATCACAGATCCTTATCTTTTGACCATATAAAAAATGTTTAAAGCAATGTTCAGATGGTCAATTTCATTTGTCTGAGCCGTCACACTTTCCTTGTACACAATGGAACATTAGATTGTGTATAGAAAAGGAAAAACGAAAGAGAAATAAAAAAAGATAAAGTAAAAAGGTAAAATTGGAACATGAGCTTAAGTTTAAATCTGGCATATATGGTGTGAAGTTATATGTTTTCTTAAGAAATTTTGTTCAGAAAATTGCATTTGTAAAACAAGAGAAAGTTCCCAATTTTATATAGAAATTGGTCAATGTAATATCTTCCTTTTTTTTCCCCAAGTAATATCTTCCATTTAGTCCTGCAGAAATGAAACATGTATAGGGAAGCTTCCCAGGAGGTTATTGTTTACATGTTTTTGTACGTTTAAAAGTTCTGAAATTTCAAAATTAAGGCTTTGAATTTTGAATACTAAATTTTTTAATCTTCAAAATTATAGTTAAATAGCTGTTTCATATTATATGATTGGGATCCTGAAAACAGATGAGTACATTTCAGCTGTTCTATTGTCATCTTTTATGGATTTCAAATATAATTCACTGTGCCCTTCAATTATAATTCTTTGATCAGTCACCTTTATTTTTTTTGTGTTGATTGTACTTATAAAAGTAGTTCTTATATGCTGCATTTTTCCGGAGTTCAGGTCAACAAATATTATGATTTAGTGACAAGCTTTTATGAATATGGTTGGGGTGAGTCCTTCCATTTTGCACCAAGGTGAGTGATAATTTTTATTACCATGCACTGTTTGGGCCTCTTTTCCTTCTTTCAAGTATGAAGGCGTTGCAGATGGAAAGGGGAATCACTTCGAGAGAGCATCAAGCGGCATGAGCACTTTCTTGCTTTGCAATTAGGTCTAAAACAGGGACAGAAGGTGCATTTCCACCCCCCTCCCCCTCTTCCCAAACTTAGCATAGTGAATTTTTCAAGACATGGAAATCTATTTCCTTTGGCACAAGTTTCTTATTGAGGTTTGATCTTTCGCTTGCAGGTCTTGGACGTTGGATGTGGAATTGGGGGCCCCCTAAGAGAAATTGCTAGATTCTGGTAACTTTGAATCTTGGATTTAACTGTATTTTTAATACACCGGAGACTTCTGATTCATGAAATATAATTGCTCAAGCATGGGTATTCATTTCACCATATCCTGATACGCTGGCAGTAGTAAGATATAAGAGTAGGTAGCTAACTTTTCTGAGTTTCTCCTAGTATTCCAGCCATAACGCATCCTGATAATATAAGTTCCACTTACAGATAGCTAAGAGAGTTTTTGTCTTTTTGTTTTCCTTAATTTTTTTTAAATCAATTTTTTCGGGATATTCTGGGGAACAAGAAATTTAAGCTTATTTTGCCTATATTTTTCTATTTAAATATTATTCATTTCCAAGAGATCGCACTGATATTAATTACCATGTGTAGTGATACATTTGTTACAGGGATAAATAACAATGAGTTTCAAATCACAAGGGGAACGGTAAGTAATGGTCATTCATGCGTGACCAAGATATACTCTACATCTGTCTTTTGTTTGATCATTATAGTTAAAGTTAACAATCCGTTATTTTCTCTCTGTTTTTTCACAAACATTGAAATGTTTTAATGAGTTTTGTTGCTTTCAGGAACTGAATCGCATTGCAGGAGTGGAAAAGACCTGTAACTATGTGAAGGTTATATTTTGTGACTTCATATGCAATTTCACTTGCCAACAATGAAATCTATATGTTAAAAGTGTTTTTCCCAGTGCTTTTGTTGTCCCAGAAATTTTTATATGATTGTTAATGATTTATCATGCGGCATCCTTATCCATTGCTGAAAGTTGTTGTCTCCTGGGCTGTATTTATTTCATGATATTGCAGGCTGACTTCATGAAAATGCCATTCTCTGACAATAGTTTTGATGCCATATTTGCAATAGAAGCTACCTGTCATGCACCAGATGTGGTATGTCATGTTAGAATGCTCTATTGGATCATAATATTCTGTGATTATGCTTTGCTCACTGTTACCTATTAAGGTTGTATATTTCTAGACTTTTTACCAATAACTCAAATCCTCATTCTGTGGTTGAATAGTTTGATTGCTACAAGGAGATTTACAGAGTGTTGAAGCCTGGCCAGTGTTTTGCTGCTTATGAGTGGTGCATCACTGATTCATTTGATCCGAACAACCAAGAGCACCAGCGGATCAAGGTACATTACCCAACTGATTGTTTGCACTGTGAGGCATGGGCTCCATAACCTGAACTATCTTCTTTCTCCCCTTCTCTGTGTTTCTATTCCTGCAATTACAAAAAAAAAAAAAAAAAAAGAAAAAAAAAATCCTCAATTTTCCGTTTGTTTGATACCTAGTGGTATAGTCACTGTATCTCTTCATGTTCATCATAAATGGGATTAACATTTGTATCGCAGCAAGGTAATGTTTAGCTCATGCCAAAAGAAAATTGCATCTATAGGAAAATTACAAATCTTCTGGCACTTTCTTTTGATTTATATTTTCGCTTCTAGTATAACAAACTTGCATGAATACAGGGGGAAGTTGAGCTTGGAAATGGACTTCCTGACATCAGGTCAACGGGACAATGTCTTGAAGCTTTAAAACTTGCAGGTTTCGAGGTTAGTAAGATGATAATTGAAATTTTACAAATCTCTTGGTTTAACTTGAAGAAACTGGAAATGGCTACTAGGGGAGGGAAGATCACTTCCTCCAACACTTGTTTGGGAAGTGGGTAGCGTTATGTTTCTGAAGATTTTAATGAATTGTTTTCTGAAACTGCACCATTTGGCTGCTTCTTATTTTTGGTTTTAAAGAATTTTGTTTCTTCTTCTTCTTGGTTTTTGTTTGTTAACACCTTTGCTCAAAGTCTGTACTTCAAACATTTACAACCTTAGTTTTAGTATTTCAGATTCAGTACTCCTCCAAATTTCAAAGCCCTCAAATTTGAAATTTATACTTGATAGGTATCTGGGCATTAAATTGCAAATATTTGCTTCTCCTCCCCTCCACACAACCCACCCACCCCCCCCCCCCCCCCCCCCCCCCCCCCCCCTCTTGTTTCTTTCTTTTCTTACCATGAAAGGTTAAATGGGAGAAGGATGTTGCTGTGGACTCACCTCTTCCTTGGTATTTGCCTCTGGATAAAAGTCAATTCTCGCTAAGCAACTTTCGAGTAACAGCTTTTGGACGTTTCATCACAAGAAATATGGTAAGATGTACAATTGCTTTCCTTTCTCATGGGACTTCCAATGATATATATTTTGTGAGATCTTCTGTAAGAACTACTATCAGTTAATGATATAGCAAGCAAAAGGATAAGAAATATTAAGAGAATAATCTTTCTATTCTATTCTCTGTAATCAGATGAAGCATTATTGTGTTTTTACTTTTATGGAACACAAGGCACCAAAATATCTACAGATTCTCCAAATTGTGATTATACTTTGTGTTACTTTGAACTTTACCTTCTTTGTGCAAGAGATAGAACCATCGGGAAAAACATAGAGAATTGTAACAACTGGTTGGTTGAGTTATATGCAAAAACAGTTTTCTGTTATCAAAGAAAGACATAACATGGTTCAAAAATTCATTTGATTGATAATTTTTTGAAAATTGTGTTCTAGAAAACTGAAAGAAATCTTGTTTTTATTTATTTGAAAACTAGAGCAAACATAACTATTAGCTATAGTAACTCTCTCTCTCTCTCTCTCTATGTGGATACAGAAAATGTAAATAATACTAGATTTTCTTTTCTTGCTTCTGTATTAAATATGTTGGAGAAATGTTGAAGAAAATAAAGGCCATGTGGGCTAAATGGAAGAGTACATTTAGTATTTTGTGTGACTGGCATATCCCGCTAAGATTTAAAGGGAAGTTTTATAAAATAAAATAACGATTAGACCAGTTATTCTTCATGGAACAAAATGTTGGGCAACTAACAAACAACATGTGCATAAGGTGAGTGTAGCAGAAATGGTAATATTGAAATGGATGTGGGGTAAGACGAGAAAGAATAGAAATAGAAATGAACATTCATGTGATGGTTGAAGTAGGCACCAATTTTAAATAAATTAAGAGAATCGATTAAAATGGTTTGGACATGTACAGAGGGGATTACTAAGTGCGTTAGTTAGGAAGAGTAACATAGTTTACATTGAAGGTAATGCCAGGGATGGGGAAGACCAAAGTTAATGTAGATAGAATTAGTAAGAAACAATATGACAACATGTGATTTGACTGAGGTCTTTGATAGAGTGGAATGGAGAAATAGGATTCATGTGACCTATTCTAAGTAGTTAAGAAAAAGGCTTTGTCGAGTTGTGTTGAGTTGAATAGACATTATAGTCAGTAAAGACTTTCTCTCTCCACAACTTTTTCTCTTGCCTCTCTCTAAACCCAGCCGCCCCCTTCGTTCTCTCCCTCCGTTTTGCTCCCCACCCCCTCCCATGAGGGCGGGGAGGTGCCGATCCTCGCCTCCCACCGCTTAATAAACTCGGCGTGTTGTACATAGTCGTTCAGTGGGTGGGTTTTTTTACGCCGTTTTGTCGTTAATTTGTTAGATCTACTCATGTTCGGCTTGTTTCTGGCTTGACGGGGTAAATCTACTTTTTGTTTTCTGGCTAGATCTCCGATCTATGTCGGGTTTTTTGGTCCCCGCCTCTATGTGAGTTTTGTGTTCCCCGCCTCTTTTGCGGGGTTTGGGGAGGTTTCTTCCCTATCGGTGGTACCTTGTGAATGCAGCCTTGGAGCAGTTGTCTTGACGATGGCCTAACCTGTGGGTCACTCCCGTTGCTATTTTCCTCCCTTGGTGGTTTCCGCTGATGCATTGTTTCTTAATAAATCTGGAGCCCGTTCTTCAGTTTTATTCTCTTGCTTCATGATTTGTTTGTCTTTGTACGGTCATTTTTTGCGCTCTTTGTAGATGCCGTATGCCTGTTTTTATTGCGAGGGTAAAAAAAAAAACAAAAAAAAGAAAAGAGTTGTATTGAGTTAGTGTTGAAGAAAATTATAAGCAACAATTGATTTTTCTTTGTAGGTGAAAACCTTGGAGTTTATGGGGCTTGCTCCAGAAGGAAGTCAGAAGGTTCAATCTTTCCTTGAGAAAGCAGCAGATGCACTTGTTGAAGGTGGAAAGTGAGTTCTTTCTCTCTAAATCACCTCTATCCTTGATCTCTGATTTTCAAAATATTTAGGTATTTGTGGTGTCCTATCTTTAACCATGTTTATGCCTCGATCTAAAAATGGGTTCTATTAGCAGCTTTTGATTAATTGTGATATTGAACATTGATGCTATTGTTTTCAATCAGGAAGGGGATTTTTACACCGCTCTACTTCTTGTTGGCCCGGAAACCTCTTTTGTAGGTCAAAATGCTAATGCAGCAGAAGCTTCACAAGGTTTATGAGAGACATTGTGATTCAGTTACTACATCACTTCTCTTATGTGACTAGAAATTGATTTGGTCCAACTGGACTCTCCCGGCCACCGGCGGCCGCAAGAATGTTGGCATGGTGGTGGTGATGGTGGTTCGTTCTCCAAAACAATCGTCGCCATGCCAAGATCGAGGCCGCCTTCCCCGAACCGATATCGCAGTGGCCGCTGTTTTTTTTTTTTTTCCTCTTGTTACTGAATTTCAGTGTCTTGCATAATTTGCATTTGATTTTCTTTAATTATTAATGACCCAGGTTTGCCTTTTGGCTTAGTCCTTCGTTTTCGTTTTGGTTTCATGTTGTGAATGCACAGTTCTAGAAATGAGATGAGTATCGAAAAAGAAAACACCAAACAGAGAACAGACAAATTTGTAACTTTTTTTCTTTTTTCTTTTTCTTTTTCTTTTTTAGTTGTGTCAAGAATAATATCTCATTGAATTGAACAATTGCCAATGTCAGCCTCTGACAAGTTAAATTGTCTGATTAACTATAGCTAAAAAAGATGTCTACTTTTCTCTCTCTGTAATTGTAGTTTAGTTTTTTCCCTAGAAATACATTCTGTTTTTGTAAGGCTTGGTCCTGTTTGTGGCTTCGGCCTGCTGTACATTCTGTTTGTTCATGTTTGTACCGTCAGATTCGATGGGTGCATCAAAACTGTGCCTTCTATCACTCTTGCGGGGGAAATTGTAAGACATGGTGTTACAACTATTAGCAGGAGGTTGGGGATTCCTATCAAAATTCTATATCAAAGTTGGGTTTCTTTTGCCCGTGAAACTGGTTGTCTGGTTCCTCGCCGAAAATTGATCGTATCCTCGCCGTCTCGATAGCCGGAGTTCGGAGACCTCGGGATGATGTCTGCTCAGATGACAGCCTTTTCGTCTGACATCATAATTGTGCCGTTGGCGTGTTGACCAAGCTTGGCGTGGTGATCTGGGTATACGTGACCCTTCTAGTGTATGCAAGATGGACCATAATCTAATGGGCCAGTTTAATGGTGCTACAGATCTGCTCAATATTAATGCACCTTTCCAACATGTGGGCTATGTGCTTCCTTGGCCCACCTTGCTTAGGATTAATGGACGATCCAGTCGTATTGCTGTGGATTGTTTGTTCCTTGTTAGGATGCTTGTATAAATTAGTTCGATGCATCGTATGTACTGTTGTTTTGGTTGGTTGTGCTGTGTGGATGCCACATGGCGTCAGGAAAAAATATATATATATATAAATTTTGTTAAAATCCGAACCTAACATTTTTAAAAATTCAAATCAGCTTTCGGTTGTGGAAAAAAGAAAATAAAAAACGTTTATTTATTTTCTTTTAACTCGTTTAAATTGTTTTTAACTCAGTTTTTAATTTTTTAATTGTTTCAAAACTTTTAAAGCAATATTCAATTTTCTTTTCAAAGCGGATCGTGGGGTTGCATCTTCATATCGACAGATATCTCGACTCTTGCATCGATGAAAAACGTAATTAAATGCAATACTTGGTGTGAATTGTAGATATTTTCGGGTAATTACGACCCACAAGGTACCACCTAGTGCGCACTTATGACTTAAAAGACTCTTATATTCGTACTAGAGCCAAACCCTAGCCATCACATAAAGTATGTCCTCATAAGCTTTCCAAAACCAATAAGTTCAAAACTTATACAAAATCAAATGAAAGTTACCCCATTCCATGCACAAGTAAGATTGAATTTACACAACTCATGTCCTAGAATTCAAGTCTAAATAGCATATGACAAGTCATGTCCTCAATATGCAATTTATACACAAAGTAAAAATATTTTACAATAATTGAGCCACATTACCATCCTAAGCCACAAATACTAAATAGGTCACAATTTAGTATCAAACTTTCAAGGTAAACAATTGTAATATTCTAGCATGCTATATACCTACACAAGATATATTTAAACAAGCTATTCAAGGCAATGATATCACATGTCATGCTAAGTCAAATTATCATCTTTAGAGACCACAAGTACTAATTCTATAACAAGTTAGTAACATGCTCACAAGATAATTAATTAAACTACATTTCATGAAATTATCACCTTAACATGAAAGTCCATAGATTTCAATTCAATTCCAAATAAGCTCAAATTAACACATGTTAAAGTTTATAACATAATCTTTACATATTTCATATCCAAAATCAATTTAAGTGACTACAACACTTAAAATAAAATTAATTAAACTAATTAATTAATTTTCCTCTTGATTTCCAAACATATCAATTGTCCTCAATTTAATATATGTTAAAGAACTCATCAAGGCCTACTTTAATATCACATTACAAGTTGATTTCATGATTGATACAACAATGTGAATTAATCTTTCACCAAAGATAAATATTAAATAAGTTTTACAATTCTTATTCAAATACTCCAAATTTAATATATATTAACTATCATACAAAGGCCTAATTTACTAGCATGCCACAATTTAATTCCAAGTTACACACAACCATATAAATTAAATCTCATATATATAAATTAATTAAATTAAATTCTAAACCTTAAACAAAAGCATGCTCACAAATTGTATATGCTCATAAAACATTCAATACAACATTAATATAAACCTAAGACATCCCCCACCTCAATTTGAGATGAAAACTCAAATCCCCATCAAAAGAAAAGTGCTCCGAATCCGACGATACTCTTAGGTTTTGTCGGGGACAACGCCGTGAACAAGAATCACTAAGAAGCCCAGTGAAAATCACAACTTGAACTCAAAACCAAACTCAAAATTTGGCCAAAAACAGGTTCTAATAAGGGCAAAAGATGCGCGTTGTCAAGATGAACAACAAATACTAAGGCACGACTACATTTTAACAAAGAAATGAAGCTCAAATGAGGAGAGAGAAGATGACAGCCTCCCTTGGGCTGCCATGGAAGCTTCAGGTCGTGCATAGGGAGTGGGGAAGATGAAAATCAAAATATCTCCTCCCCCTTTTATAGAAAATTTCAAAAAGTGCCCCGAACGGGCCCCGCCGGGTCTGAAAAAGTGAAATTTGAGCAGACGCGCTCAAACAGCAAAACTCTATGAACAAAAAAGATTCAAAATGAGAAAATATGAATAACAGAAGAAACGACGTCAAAAACTGAGTCCCGAGCAGAGAGATATGCCCCAAACAAGTTTGACAGCAACTAGGTCCAGAAACCCTGAAACTGGAGAAAATTGACCAGAACGGAATTCTAACAGTACCCGACTCGACGAAATGTGAAAATGAACCCCGTACGAGGATCCAGACTCCAGACGAGATATTTTGCAATAACTTTCGTTAATTGCACAATGGCCCCTACAAAAAGGGTTAACTGCGAAACTGCCCCAGAATGAAAATATCTTTCTTAGATACCCCTGAAATAAAATATCTTCAAAAGATATTTATGAAAAACACCACAAGAAAAGGAAATAATTCTAAAGAATTATGCATCCATGCCCCTATGGACACCGGGAGCAACCAGAGTTCTTTTCTACAAAAGTAAAGATACGTATTTCGTGGAAACCACTCAAGATGAAGACACGTGAAGTCAAAAACCAACTCCGAACACAAGAAGTGAGGTTTTACCAACAAGGTGATAAACGGAGAAAAGACGAAACAGGGAAAAGGACAAAACAGTGAAAAGTGTCCGAAAAGTGAAAATACGGAAATGACTTGGTCCTCAAAGGAAGTTGTCAATCCACACGAAAGAGTCTCAGAAGTCATTTCTAAGCACTCGAGATGACACTAAGCGACGAGAAACTGAACTCAGATAAGAAATTTCAACGAAAAAAATTCATCCGTGAAATTCTAAAGAAAAAAAAAAGGAAGGAAATGACCGGGTCATTATAACCTACCCTCCTTAAAGAGATTTCGTCCCCAAAATCAGGAACATTCCCAGAAGAACCAAAGAAAGACCGTACACTAGGTCACACGAAAGAATAGATCATAAAGTACCTAAGGACAACTCCAAAGGTCTCAAGATCAACGAAGAGACACAAAACCACAACTAGTGAGACACCTCTCTAACAAATTGACATTCCAACCCAATGTCAACCACCTAAAAGAGATCAAGGAAACTACATAACTAAACAAGGAACACAACCAGAAGTAACATGGCAGCACAAATACTGACTAGAACCCGCCCACAACGTACCCAAGGTGCGGTAGCATAAACAGCATCAAGCGCCCGCCCACACTTACATTACCAGCTAGGTAATGTAAGGTAGCATCGACGGCAACTAACACTTGCCCACACACAACCTGTACGGTAGTATGACAGTATACAGCCCTAATTCGTCACCTGCCCCCAACAAGCTTACCCGTGAAACCTATCGATACAAATGACATCAATGTCAAACAATCATTACCAAAAGCACCACGAGAGCCAGGCATTCTGTGAGAGTTACGATATGGTCCAAAATATCCGGCCGGACCATTCTGGCCAATCCAAAACTCTGACAACAATGTCATAGGCACCGCTACGCTTAAAGCCTTAAATCCTCAATACTGTAAAAACTGACAATCCCAAGTCTCAAAACACTGTTGTCAACCACACCAGTCACGAATCCAAAACCTGACAAGTCATGCCCTCAAGCCAATGGATCGGACTTTACAAATCAAACAACATCATCATTGCCCTAGTCACCATGACTCCCTACAAGACAATGCACCTAAGAACCTCCACGTCATCCTAAAGCTGACCTACTACAAGGCTACGCCTAGGAAATCAAGACACTAGATCAAGCTCACACACATAATCCCGACAACCAAGGTCATACAACCCCAAACACAGTACGGAATGATAAAAAAAAAAAAAAAAAAAAAAGAAAAAAAAAAAAGAACTAATAAAACAATTAGTCATGAAACAAATATATACATATGCAAGTATACATTCACAAGTATACTAAGAAGTATCAAAATGAAAATGCAATATATATGTATATACAAGTATACATTCACAAGTATACTAAGCAATACTAAATCTATGGTAGGCAAGTATACAAGCTCGTGTATATTAAACCAAAATGAAATGAAATAAACAACGTGCAAGCATACTAGGTACAAGTATACTAAACGTAACTGAAAATCCACACGCCATACAACTAAACATATAGTGTACAGGGGCAATCAATTGTGCTACCTATCACATAGGGGTCAAGCATCAGAGACATACTAAACATCACCTATGACGTTAGCATGACAAACAGATATATCAAATGAAAAATACATCATCTATATCAGCACATAGCTACCAGATAGTCACATCCCCTAAACATGTTTCTAAGGTATGCT